GCTTAGCTGGAACTTGCAAAAGCAGGAAAGTCCAATTATAAGACTGACCGTGGGTTGTGGAGTTGGGGTAGTGGGAGTAAGGAAGTTAAGAGCTTGGAGGGGATTATCTGTATGGGTCATACTGAGTAGTGGTGCTAGTGAGGGCAAGACAGGACCAGACTAGGGAAAGGATCAAGGGGTCAGAGCAGGCATGAGTGTTTGCCTATGAACATGCTTAAGGACAGTCAGGCATTTCTCTGCTCCTGGAGAGAACATTCTTCTCCAGCCATGTACACATTCTGTGCTTACCACCAGGCTGAGAAGTTCTCAGGTGCTGTGGTGAGCCTCACAGAGCGGTGCGTGTGTATGGACTGTATAGATAGCACCATGATCCGCCATGAGTCCCGCCCTGACATCACAAGGCTCGCATTAGGGCAAACTGCTCACCTGGAGGGACCACACACCTCTCCAACCTTGCTTCAGGGAGAGCACATGCACAGTGACCTGGCAGAAATTAGGCCCAACTTATGGGAAGTTGAGATATGTCAAACCACAAGTGTGATTGTAACCTCTTAATTCCTTTTCTTTTGAAAGAAAGGAATAACCATCTACTTACAAAACTATGTAGACATAAAGACTGTTTTCCATAAATTCTGCCTCAAGACATGATGAACGTTTATTAAAAGGAATGCTCCTTAAAAATTAAGTATATTTATACTACCCCCAAAGTTTTAATGTTTAGCTTCCTCATGAGTGCTTAGGTTCTTTGGCATGTAACCACTGTAGTGTGACTAATAAAATATCTTCAGTGTAAGATACAGGACACCAAGCAATTTTTGTAACCTGGGCAGCCACTGAGTGTGCAAGTAAGTAGGTTTCAGGAGGGAATACCCCAAACAGTTTACCTTATACTTAAAATATTAGTTGCCCATGGAATTCTTCTGTAAATATATTTAAATAAAAATCTCCTTTGGGCGGCACCCATAGCTTAGTTGGCAGGGCGCCGGCCACATACACCTAGGGTGGCAGGTTCAAACCCGGCCCGGGCCTGCTAAACAACGACAACTGTAACCAAAAAATAGCTGGGTGCTGTACGGGCACCTGTAGTCCTAGCTACTGGTAGGCTGAGGCAAGAGAATCGCTTAAGCCCAAGAATTTGAGGTTGCTGTGAGCTGTGACACTACGTGACACTACAGCACTCTACCCAGGGTGACAGCTTGAGACTCTGTCTCAAAAAAAATAAAAAAAGTCTACTTTGTATTTCATAAAATGTTTTCTGAGATGCAGTAAATGATGACTATAAAAAAAATAGATGATTTATTTCCTGGGGGAAAGTCAGTCATTTGTCTGCAAACTAAAAGCCTAGCACATGTTAGGTGCTGGATAGAGAGACAGGAGCAAGACCTGACCCTTGCTTCTGGATTTTCCATCATCCACTGGCACTAGTGGCACCTAAAAAAGCAGTTAAGACACAGTGCAGTAAGAGCTGTGAAGGGCAGGCAAGATGGGGTAAGTGCTGACTGTTAAGGACTCCCCGAAGTCCTCTTTGGAAGAATAGGGAAGGTGTACAGAACACAGTACCCACTCTTTCTTGGGGTTTCTGGATGAACCTTTTCAAGATGGCAGTGAGCTGCATCTGCAAGGAGGTACAAAAGTTTGCCAGATGCAAACACCCAAGAAGAGGGAACAACACGTGCAAGAGCTGGAGCAGTGTGTAGGCAAGTAAAAGGGGCACAGCAGGGAGCCCGTGTGGCTGGCATTTTCAGAGCCAGTAGGGCAGGCTGAGGGACAGTGCTGCAAGGGAAGGCTGGGCCAGGTGCCACAGCACCTTGGACACTATGGGCTGGCCATCTTCAGTATTGAAAACCAAGGCTAAGAATTCTACTAACTTGCCCAAACTACACAGGAACTGGTAGGCCCAGGAGAGTAGCCCCAACTCTTTCAGACATCAAAGCCTTTTTTCCTGTCCTTGCCCCATGCTGCTCAATCAGTATAAAGGTCTTTAGACCTTGTTTTCTTTTCCCTAGCGATGAAGCTTGTTTTGCAAATAAAATCTGAACCCTAAGCTCTAATAAAAAATAGATCAGGTTTTCATTAGCATCATTAGTATAAATTTATTTCATATTTAAATTTGTAACAGAGATTTAATGAAAACAATGGCTTTCTTTTTTAAAAGCCCTTTTATTTTAGAATACTTTTAAATTGACAGAAAAGTTGGAGGGATAGCCAAGAGAGGTCCCATCTACCCCACACCCAGTTCCTCCACTGTTAACATCTTACATTACCATGTTACGTTTGCCATAACTAAGAGACAGACATTGGGACATTGCTATTAATAATTAAATTCCATACTTGAGATTTCACAATTTTTCCATCAATGTCTTCTTTCTATTCCAGGGTCCAGTGAAAACACAAATTGAAATGACTTTATTTTTGCAAATACTAAAACATAAAAGTCAGGAATTAGGTTATAATGCATTCTCAGATGTTCACTTTGTGACTTAAAGTAAGATACTGCCTTGAACACTCAGAAAAAATACTATCCGTAAAAAAGATATTAAGCCCTGTATTAATATCATTGCAAGAAGCAATCTGGATGAGCAGCTGGCTACCAAAATACAGTTGGGGTAACTATCTGATAATGCACACTCTGCAAACTTGACTCAGTCTGTCTCAGACAGCTCAGGCTCCTATAACGTCACACCATAGAGTGGGCAACTTAAGCAACAGAACTTGATTTTCTTGTAATTTGGGAGACTGGAAGTCCCAGATCAGGGTGCTGGCCAATTTGGTCCCTGATAAGGGCTCTTTTCTTGCCCTGTATATGGCTGTGTCCTCGTGTGGCTTTTTTTTTTTTTTAAGTGCCCATTCACAGAGAGCTCCCTCTCCCTCTTCTCATAAAATCTACCAGTCCTGGTAGATTAGGGCCTCACCCTATGACCTCATTTAACCTTAATTACCTCCTAATGACCCTGTCTCCAAACAGATCACATTGGGAATTGGTATTTCAACTTGTAAATGGGGTGGGGTAGGGGGAGGGCTACTGCAATTCAGTTCCTAGCAGAGGCTGAAATGTGAAATCTTTATAATTCAATCATGAGGCATATGACATGGAAACTTTTTCCATTTTGCTCAGTAAAGAAGTAAAACTTGACAACATATAAGAAAACGTTAACTATTTAGATCATATTTTAATGCACCATTAAATAAGTTAGCAAAGAAATATAGTGTCATCTGTACTGAGGGTGCAAAAGCAATGGCAAGAAAAAAATTTCAAAAGTAATTGCTTTATAAAAGTAGTTACCAAAGTTTTCGGGTGGTTATTAGGTTTTTCATAGATGTTAAAAGATATGGCATCCTTTATGCTGGGTACTGTGGCGTATGCCTATAATCCTAAATGATTAGGAGGTTAAAGCAGGAGGATTGTTTGAGCCTGACAGTTTGAGGCCAGCCTGGGCCACATAGTGAGACCCCCCAGCTCTAAAAAAATAAAAAATAAAAACGAAAGACATGATATCCTTCAGAAAAATGCATTAATTATTTGTTATGTGTACTCTCTGTATGGGCCATCAATTCTAGAATTTACTATCCCATGCCAAAGATACTTACTATACTAAAGTAGAGAACAGGTATAGACACTGCCCATAGCTGGGGTTTGTTTTGGTTTTGCCAATAAAGAAATTTAATTGGCTAAATTTACCTCAACTACAGCAGAGTTGCCCCTTTGGCCTGTGGCTTCTCAGTTAGTTAGCATGGGGTCACAGCATTCCCCATGACCAACAATGCAAACCAGATAGGACCATAGTAAATGTATAGAGTAAGTGGTTGTTACTGCTGGTGTTTTTAGTTTGAGATGTGGAGTGAAATGGTAATGCCATTAGTCTAGAAAAATATGGGAGAAAGTTTAAAGATTTAAAGGTAGGTAGGAGAGAGTTTGAATAATTTCAGAAGATATAGATAGAGATATTCATTTAATCTTTGGAATTTTAGAAAAAACAAGTTATCTGGTACAACTCTAAGTTGTCATTTGAAAGTTAATTGAAAAAAATTTCATTAAAGATGGTATGCCATTGACTTAGTTTCTTATGGGATAGAAAGATTAATAAGGAGAAGAAATACTAAATGATTTCAAAACTAAAAAATTGGTACAGTGGTTCACACTTGTAATCCTATCATTCTTGGAGGCTGAGGCAAGGAGCTCAGGAGTTCGAGACTGGCCTGAGCAAGAGCAAGACCCATCTCTACTAAAAATAGAAAAATTAGCCATTCATGGTGGTGTAAGCCTGTAGTCTCAGCTACTTGAGAGGCTGAGGCAGAAGGATTACTTGAGCCTGGGAGTTTGAGTTTTCCATGAGCTAGGCTGATACCACAACACTGTAGCCTGGGCAACAGTCTTAAAAAGAAAAAAAAAAAAAAACACCTGCAAAAATAGATGACTAGTTCTAGTTTGCTACAGTGTTCATTTAGGAAAGCTGAATTGAATACCCTTTCAGTTTTCTTACTATATTGATATTTATTAGGGTGTTCTGTTAGTGTTCCAAAATATAATTTGGTAAATTGTGGTATGTTTAATTAGTAAAACGTTGATTCAACAATAGCTTGATTTTCCTTTGATGAAGCCCTATTACGAGTTTGCGCTCAACCATGGAGTTCTTAAGTACATATAGTTCAACTGGAGTAATTGTATTGGAAAATACAACTGAAGTCTAGAGCTTCCATATTGGTAGATAGTAGAGTATAGCTCTTTTTTGTTGCTACAGTGGATTTTTTTTTACCCTCTGTTAGCAACTCTTCTCACTTTCCCAGCTCTCATTCCCTTTTGATTCTAAAGTCTCATGGAAAACCATGAGATAGGGTGGTCTTCCTGCAGGGTCTTCAGCAGCAGAGTGCCTACATCTTTAGCTCACTTTGGAAAAGCTGAAGCTGTTCACCAACACTATATCCTTAGGGCTTCTCCTAAACCTGGGGAAAACTCCCCTGGGATGGAGAAAGGTACTCACAGTCCTGTCCTCTGTTTTCAGGTGGTCCCCATGCTGCCTAGGCTGCTGTGTGAAGAGCTGTGCAGCCTCAACCCCATGACTGACAAGCTGACCTTCTCTGTGATCTGGACGCTAACTCCAAAGGGCAAGGTAACAACTTACATGTTGTCCTTTCTCTGCTTCACACCATTCCCATTCCATGAGTTTTGGTAAGCACCACTGTGGTGTACCTGGCACTGGGCCGTGGTGCCAGGGTGATAGGACAAGGGAGTCAGAGAAGAAATATAAGAGTATCACTCCCACTTAGAAGGCAAAACTGGCCCTATGCACTTTGTAACAAGTGGCTTGTTTCTTGTCTATTATCAGATGAAGGAAGAGAGTAAGCAGAGTAACACAGAAGAGGCTCACACAGGAGATAGGGTTTCAGCAGGTGTGAATGTGGATGGGCAAAGGCAGGAAGAGTAGTCTGAGCTGCAGGTAGGGGCAGAGCCTGTTGGGGAAGACTTTTCTTAAGTGAGGTGAAATCAAACTATGGACAGTTTCAAATGCCAGTCACAAAAGAATTTGGTGTTAGGGTTCCTCTGAAGTATCATGAGAAAGGTCACTTACAGCAGTTCTCAACCTGTGGGTCGTGACCCCTTTAGGGGTAGAACAACCCCTTCACAGGGGTCACCTAAATACGTCCTGCGTATCAGGTATTTACATTATGATTCATAACGGTAGCAAAATTACAATTATGAAGTAGCAACAAAAATAATTTTATAATTGGAGATCACCACAACATGAGGAACTGTATTAAAGGGTTGCAGCATTAGAAAGGTCGAGAACCACTGTTCTAGAAAGATTAGTGCTGCATTATGTAAAGGAGGTATAAAGATGAGTTAGCAAGGTAGTGCTGTGATCAAGGTACCAGTGATGAGACCAGGGCCTAAGAACAGAAGGAGAGGAATATTAGCAGGTAATCCTTGACACAGGGTTGAATGAGGGACATGAGTGGAAGATGACTCCAGGAAAAACTAGTCCCTCCCCCGACAGAAACAACTCTATACATCCAAAAATAGGGTCGTGATTTAGTAAACCATGGTACCTATTCAATGGAATATTATGAAATTATTAAAGCTGTTTACAGAGACTATGGAAGAACATGGGAAATGTTTATGCTGTAATATTAAATGGTAGTAAAAAAAATAATTATAAAGAGGTTCCAAATAAAGACAGAGAATTGAATACCCACATTTACTTTCATTCCCTCCCAAAACCTCACTAAAACAACAGTCAAGAGATTTTTTTTTTTAAAGACATAAACCCACAAGGACAAAGAGAGTGGGAGAGGAGACAACAGCAACAAAGTTTTGGAAGCTGGGTAGCAGATGGATGAGTGGTAACTGACTTAGCAGTACTGAGAAAGCCGAATCCCTAGCCAGCAATAGAGAAAGCCAAGAAACAACCCAATTTACATGGCAGAACCTTAAGAAAATTCCAAATTGACAACAGCAGATAACTCTAGAAGGTGGAGAAGGGGTGGGGGAAATGAGGCTAACAGTATTGGCAGTTGAAAGTTTATTTTAAAAGATTGTCCTTCCCGTACCATCGTAGAACACCAGAAATTTATTCTCTGGACAGGGTAAGGTAAGGGGTCTGTGAACTAGAAGACACCAGATACACTTGATGGCCACGGTAACTGGGGGGCAATTGAGTGAATGTTGACGTACTGAATAGTGAGGGCGCCAGCTTTCTTTCTTTTCCCTGCCAACCACAGAATCTTGGTAGTCAGACCTGTACCCATGAGTCAGGCAATGGGAAATCTTTCTCCGAGGAAACTGAGTAGTGAATAAAAAGACTTAAGGATACTACCCTTGAGGTCTTCCCAACCAGCAACTCAACTATGTTCCCCTACAGTAAAGTTTACAGACAATAAACTCTGCCATCTCAGTCAGAGCTTTTTAGGATTTCACCTTCATGTGTGAAGAGACAACCAAAAGGAAAGTCTCTAATAAGAAATAGGAAGACAGAGTAAACAGGACAAAAGCAACTAGAACAAAGCACACTAACAAGGTAAAAGACTCTATCATTTATATCTTTAGAGGATTTTTTAAAGAGAAAGTGTCTATATCACAAAATCTAGATACTTTAAAAAAGAAACATTTGGAAGAAATAAAGCTTTGGAGAATTAAAAACAAGATAGAGGAAATGAAAAGTTTAAGATCCTGTTGGGGCTCGGCGCCTATAGCTCAACCGGCTAAGGCGCCAGCCACGTACACCTAAGGTGGCGGGTTCGAATCCCCAGCCCGGACCCGCCAAACAAC